ATTAAATTATTGAGAGGTGTATGCTTCTGGATGTGCCTGTGTAGACTAAACTTTTCCAGAAAAAATTTGAGTTCCATCTTAAAATACAAACTTTTTTTTTTTTGTGAGCATTAAAGAAGCGTGTATTAGAAGGCTATTTCTTTCTTAAGATCTTAATGTGCAATCTGGATGGGTTTCAGCAGCAGAATTGGGGAAATACCTGTGTGTTTATGCTGAAACTTTGCATCACTGTTCTCTTTCTACAGCAGTACAATATTGCTTTCTATATTTCACCTCCTGTGGATCATAGAATCATAGAATGGCATAGGCTGGAAGGGACCTTAGAGATGATCTAGTCCAGCCTCCCTATTTTGGGCATGGACGCCACCTCTCGACTAGACCAGGCAACACATGGGGACGTAATAACAGTCCAAGACTGGAAGGTTTTACATTATCTTCTGAGAGTGATAAGTGTTTTCTCCTTTACTCTGTGACACTTTATGTTGTCACATGTGACTGTAATTCTGTTCTCATTCTTCTGGACACCTGGAACAATAGGCTCAGATATAAGTGTTTCTAGAGCCACCTGCTTGTGAGATGGGAACACATCCATCACATGCCCTTTTCAGGAGTCTAATAACCTGATTATTGCTATAAGAGTGGTTTTAGGGTAAATGCTGACTCAAAGATGCTTTGTGTCTTGGTTGAGTTTTCTCTGCTCTTCCTGGACTCACGTGGCCTTTCTTGTTTTGACCATGTGCTGCTTTCTGAGAGTGCATTTGAGTAACTCAAGCTGTAGCTTTCTTGCCTTCACTCTGCATTTCAGTTAACAGTTTCTGCTTATTCCCAAGAGCTAGGCAGCCTTCACTTCAAGCCAGATCTCTTGACTGCATTTGTGGGCTAGCATAAATACCATTTCCAGAAATATTTTCAGAATTTAGTTGTAGCTTTGTACCACCTCACATGAAAGTACTTGCGATAATGTGGTAAGTATGTATCACAATAAATAATTAATCTTCTGCAGATTACGAGAGTACCAACATCTTGCTGGTTTTTTTTTTTTCCTTGTGTGTGTTGCATAGTGTTCTTGACTTCTAGTGGCTTTCTGTATTTTAGATTTATTTCTAGAATTTTCTACCTGCTATTTGTAACATTCTGTAGATTCTTCCATCTTCAATGTGGCCTTGAGAGGTTTGCTGATACCCACGCCATCAGAGTCCATTCTTTGTTTATGCTGCTCAATTGATGCTTTTTTATAGAACTGTTGCACTGCTGCATTTCAGGGCATTCTAAATGTTGTTGAAATGGTACGGTAAAGGCATTCTGAATAAAAGAAGAACAGAACATCATGTTCTTTTACTGGTAGAAAACATGAGATACTTTTTTATGATGGAATATGGAAGTTGTCTACTCTGAATAATGTTATTAGAAGAATAAGCAGACCTTTCTGTGTTTTTAAGAAGCCATAACTAAAATGCTGCTGGGTGTAAATAATTAGTTATATCAGCATGTTACAAATAGATGCTAATAAGTAGAGTTCCCAATTTTATCAGTCGAGGGAGTCCAATTTCCTTGTTGTAGATTTCTTTTTATTAACACTAATGAGACTTGTTTTAAGGGGATAATAGACCTGTGCAGCATGACAAAAACTGTACAATAGCCAGAAGTTTCTGTTTAACAGCATAACCAAGAAAAATTCTTGGTGTTTCCTTGCAGCAGCACTACTTTGTGTTGGGGTTTTTTGTAGTACTGCCATTTCTGATTACCTTAGAGCCTTGTCTTTTTCATAGTAGGAGTTGCAACAATATGCTTATGTACACAGAGAAGCTTACAATATCTACTTAAATGTCAGGGATAATGTTAGAGTATGGCTGTAGTCTTTTCAGTGTGAAAACCAGTATCTGTTGTGGTAAGTGGTAGAGTTTTCTTAGTTCCATTGTAACAATTGCTATGAAGGCTGTTAAAGACAAGGCACTTACTGCTTGTCTCCTGTTCTGGATTATTAAAATAATAGCTAGTTATAAAATGCGTCCATAAATTGTGAAGTCTTAATTTTGGGTCAGTTGAGGAGACATTACTGTAAGCAGGTTTATTTGAATTTATGGTTATCCTGTGTCGATGAAAGGTGTGTCATGATCTCTGAGATCCCTTCCAGCCTGTGCCATTCTATGATTCTACGATTTGCTGATCCTACTTGTACGAGATTGAATGTTCATAACTGTTAAAGAAAGTGGAGTATTTCTGTGTCCTCTGCATTTTTCCTCAGGACCTTGGCCTATTTCATGTTATTTGTGATGACAACTAAAGCTTCCCTAGTCCTTATCTGCATTTATTTGAGTGTATTTACTGCATCACATAAGGATGCTGAGGAAAGCAAGGCATAATAGCTAAAACACAGAATCTTCCACTGTGCAAGTCATCTTTTTTTCTAAACGGGGAAGTGTCAGAATTTTTTTCTTAGGAACATTTCTTTTAAATTCCTAATGCTTGGTTTCTCTAAACTCCTGAGATCTGGAAATAGCTGTCACTTTTATTTGAATGATACTACTTTACTTTTCAAAATAAAGAAAGACTACTTTTCAAAATAAAGGCTGCTTTTCAAAATAAAGGGTGATGGGGGAGGGGAAAGTCAGGGTTTCTGAACTGTGTTTTGATTTAAAAAAAAACACCACAAACAAAAAAACCAACCACTAACACCCTACAGAAGAACTCCACACAAACCATCCAAGGTTCTAAGGAATGACGAAGCTTGTAAAGAAGATTCCTTTTGTTGATGTGTATTTTTACTAGAAGTACTTTTTACTTACAATACTAGTATAAGGTCTGAAATGCCACAAATGCTCCATTTGTCAATTGTGGGCCTGTCTTAGGGCTTGAAGGAGAAGACATAGGAGGATGTGTGAACAGACTTCAGTAAATAAGGAATTCAAATTGTTGTTGTTCAACACCTAGTATTCTAGTTCTGATAGTTAGGTTTCATTTTCGAGCTGATTTTCTAACTCCTATTACAATTACTAATTAAAAAAATTTTTTAAAACATTACTCAGGGTCTTCAGATCGCCTTTAAATAAAAGCTGCATGCCACTTCAGGGACCTGCATAGTTTGAAGAAGTTCTAATAAAGGTGATCAGACTGTATCTCCAGTTGTCTCTCGTGCATGTGCCAGAAGAATTAATGATGAAAGCACTTTCTAAAGAAAGGTGCTAAGTTGCACAGACACAGAGGATCTTTCTTGCAAGTTTATGTTAACCAACTTGAAGCTACTTCTTGCTGCTTGCTTATTCTAGTACAAGGTCCTGAAAGGACATTTTGCGCTTTGTGTGAGGGTTTATCTTTTTAAAATAAATTTTAATCAGGTTTTGCGGGAGAAACAGAGTGGGAGAAGACTACAGGAGACTGAGTAGTTCTGAAACCATTGGTGTTCTTGTGTTTGTAATGTTGCACATCACCCAAGAATGTTTTTGGCTTGTCCTGCAGTCACCTAACAGCTGGAGTTCATATGGGTAGTGCTTGTGTAAGTAAGTTCTGAGACAGGGTGCAGAGAGTTTTTAAGTGCCAAACATCTGTTTTCTGTGCTGTAAACTGTTCTGGATTGTAGGGAGAGATTAAGAACTGCTGTGCCATTACTGCAGGCATTGAATGGGAGTTGAGATGCTTGATTGACTCCAGGCAACTGGGTGCATGTTGCAGCTCAGTAATTCAGGATCTAGTTTCTTGGGTAGCATCTGCAAGAGTTCAGTCTGTAGAATAACTATTTAGGCCTTGTCATAAAATGTGAAAGAAGCAACAGTTAAGGAATGGGGTGTGTTTTGGTGGCCTCTCTCATCCCCTATCCATTCTCCCCCTCCTCCCCCACCACCTCTTCCATAACTGGGAACTTGTATCTTCTCCTAGTTCTGCACTGATGATCAAATACTGAAATTCTGAAGTGCATCAAAACTAGTTTTGTTTTCATGTTACCTGCTGTATTCATGACTCTTTTTGTACTGATTTAGGATTGCTGCTTTGTTGGGGCTTTGAGTTCAGTCTTTTCAATCCATGAGTTTCAGAGTGGTTATGTGGGAAACTCACTTTACAGTGTTGAGCTTTCAGTTATTGCTTTTTACATGTAGTATTTCTGTAGTTCACTGTAGCATGTATAGGTGTTGGTAGATGAGAAGATAGATGAGAAGCTCAACATGAGCTGGCAGTGTGCTCATGCAGCCCAGAAAGCCAACCGCATCCTGGGATGTATCAAGAGAAGAGTAGTTAGCAGGTCAAGAGAGGTGATTCTCCCCCTTTACTCTGCTCTTTTGAGACCTTGCCTTGAATACTGCGTCCAGTTCTGGTGTCACCATCATAAGAGGAACATAGATCTGTTGGAGCATGTTCAGAGGAGGGTCACAAAGATGATCCAGGGGCTGGAGCACCTCTGCTATGAAGACAGGCTGCGGGAGCTGGGCTTGTTCAATCTTGAAAAGAAAAGACTTTGGGGGGACCTAATAGCTGCCTTCCAATACCTGAAGGGAACCTACAGGAAGGCTGGGGAGGGACTTTTTACAAGAGTGTCCACTGATAGGACAAGGGGAAATGGATTTAAGTTGAAGGGGAATAGATTTAGATAAGACTTTAGGAAGAAATTCTTCAGTACGAGGGTGGGAAGACTTTGGAATAAATTGCCCAGAGATGTTGTGGCTGCCCCCTCCCTGGAGGTGTTCAAGGCCAAGTTGGACGGAGCCTTGAGTAGCCTGATCTAGCTGAGTGGCGTCCCTGCCCATGACAGGGAGGTTGGATTAGATGATCTCTAAGGTCCATTCCAGTCTAGGCCATTCTATGATTCTGTTTTCACACTTTTTTCTTTTTAAGTGTTTCTGGTAAAAATTTGTGCAATTTTCTGCACAAGTTTCCTGTATATGGAAGACTGGTTTTGTTAATGTTCAATACAGTAAGCATTTGTGTGTTGTGAACTGTAGAACAACTCTGATTTCTTTTCTTGCACATGGAAAATGCAGATCTGAGTTGCTTAATGCGTTATTCTTACTTTTCAGCTGTTCACTGACGGAATCACCAATAAATTAATTGGCTGCTACGTTGGTGACATAACGGACGATGTCGTTCTGGTTAGGATCTATGGAAATAAGACTGAGCTCTTGGTGGATCGAGACGAGGAAGTGAAGAGTTTCCGTGTGTTGCAGGCGCATGGCTGTGCACCTCAGTTGTACTGTACTTTCAACAATGGCCTGTGCTATGAATTCATGCAGGGAGAAGCACTGGATCCAGAGCATGTATGCAATCCAGATATTTTCAGGTAAGGTTTTTTTATATATTTTGATTTTTTAATTGTTTTTATTTCATTATGCATTTCTGTGATGCATTTATGATGTTCTTTAAGGCTCAAAGTGTCTCAAGCCTAGTGTACGAGCAGACAGAAAAGGAATTATTTCTGTAGGTCTCTACTAAGTTGATGTTCACACTCTTGAGATCTCACTCGTTCCTGACTTAGCGTGGTATTTCAGTGCCGAACAAATGATCCTCGCTGTCTTCCCAGAAATTAGAGGTCTGCTTATTGTGAGTGTTTAGCACTTGTACCTTACCATTAGCGCGATCATTCAACATGGTGATGTTGTAAGGGGCTGGACTTGGTTAAAACAAGTACTCCCAGTTGTATTTAAAATGCGTTCCTTTTGTGAATAGGTTCAAGATAGTTGTCCGTGATTTTTAAGCTGTTGGTAGTGAACAGTGCTGATGTCTTACGATTTTTTTTTTTATGTGCACTGAAATGTATTTGCCTAACGATGGCAGCTAATTTGAGTCAACCCTGACAAAGATAAGGAAATGGATGGGTTGGCTGTAAATACAGGTGAAGTATGGGTATTGTGAATGAACTCCAGTCTCTCAGCCACTGCTCGCTGAGAAGCGCTGCTGATGAGCTTTGAATCTTGAAAGATGTTACACTGTTGCTGTGCTAATCTTGTTTAAAGGCCGTCTTTGGATTCTGTTCCTGCGTTTTTGTATAGTTAGATATATTGTAGTTGTCTTGTTTCTAGGAAGAATATGATAAAGACTATAAGGTATAAATTAAATATGCACTAAATTAATTTTTTTCAGACTCATTGCCAGACAGCTTGCTAAAATCCATACTATTCATGCACACAACGGATGGATCCCTAAATCTAATCTGTGGCTGAAGATGGGGAAATACTTCTCTCTCATACCCACAGAATTTGCAGATGAGGAAGTAAATAAAAGGTAGATATTTAGTTACGGGCTTTCTTGACTTTCCATTCTTTCTGGTTGAGGGGTAGAAGAGTATTTTTTAAAAAAATAGATTTTATGTTCCCACATAATGTTAAGTTTGTAAAATGAGTTTTGCCATACTTTTGTATACTGAAGTAGCTGCCTATATGTCAAATATGATGAGTCTTCTCATTTGTTTGCTATATTGTGTATATATACATATAGTTCTTGATTTGATTGGACACTAAAATGATGGTAGTCTTGTTTACTCTTTTTAAGGAAGTAAGGTCAAGTCACATACTTCAGGCCATTGTTTCAACTTTAAGAGACCCATCAAGTCTCAAACTGTGATCTGTGTTTTGAGGTGAATACAAAAAGCATGTTTCTTAGGGCTTGCAGGAATACTGCTTGTTGTTCATTCTAACCTACACCTCTAAGCTGTTGTGTATAATTGTGTCAGTTTATAAATGTGTCTGAAATTGGGTGGCATGACAGTAAAGTTAATGGAAGTGTTTTCCAGAGGAGGAAGAGGTATCCATACAGTCATTCTAGACCTGTATTATCATGGAGTATGAGTAATGGTGTAATCTGAGTTTCAGACTTTATTAAAGCAAGCTGTATTTTATTCTCTTATTTGTTAAGCTCCTAAGAAAATACCTAAAGGGTCTAGCGTCAGGCACTGGAAGACTGGGATGAGAACAGCAAAACTAGGAGTCGTGTTTAACCTAAATTCATGTGCTGTAATTTAGTGCTGAGTTTAGGACAGTGTTTCTTAGGGAGAGGAGATTTAAGCTAAGACTGATTTGGGGGTGTTTATACAGTATCATTACACTTCATATCACTCAGGAAGCAGATGCAGCTTAGAAACATTCTTCATGGAACTTCTTTGAAACCACAGTTTGCCAACTGCCCTTCTTGCTGCGTAATAATTAAAGAACACTCTCTACAACATAAAATTGTTGAGAAAACTGAGAAAACTTTAGTTAATTGAAAATCTAGACTGTAAAATAGCTACTTAAGCATAGTTTCTGTGACCGGAACTAAAAATGAATTTTCAGTTTCCTCTACATAAATATATAGAGATAGATATATATATATAGTATTTCCTGTTGTGTACTCTTCTTGAAGGAAGTAATGTAACGTGAGCAAAAAATGGAAGAAATTCTTGCTATAATCATTCTGTTGAAGGATTCTGTTGAAGTTTTACTACTGTCATGTTTACAGCACAGATAATATTCAGAGAATTAGCTTTTGGTAGAGGACCAAGGGGAATAATTGCCATAATTTAGCTGCCATTGTGCC